GGAGCAGACACACATCCCCCACGCTCAATCGCCTCTCCTCCAGTACCCGCTGCATGATGCCACCTGTGCCCAGCTGTACTGCCACCGTTACACAGGAGACCCACAGGCGAACCAGGGCAACCGGGGTAACAGTCATGCAGGGTAACAGTCATGCAGGGTAACAGTCATGCAGGGTAACAGTCATGCAGGGTAACAGTCATGCAGGGTAACACTCATGCAAAACCGAAGGTGCTTATTGTGCCGTGCTGCAATACCTAATAAGATCGGACTGAATCACGACCGGCTACAAAGGCAGCCTTCCACATGGCCGTAAATTCCACTCCCCTTTCCGGAATGTTCAAAAATTCATCAGAGCTTCACTCTGGGGTTCGGTCCTCTATTTCTGTGTGCTGCCCGTCAGCTGAAATAAATCAGCGAGCCGAGCAGAAAACTCTGGCTAGGCTGGCAGACGAGGATCAGGAAGCCCGGCAGAGCGTGTGACGACGCGGCCCATCGTTAGCGGTACAGTCCGTCTGGGAGGACCTCTAATTGGCGGCCGTCGTGCAGCACTCTTTAGTTCAGGTGAGACAGCAGCCCCATCTGTTAGTCCGTAATCATTTTATTTATCTACATACTTAACACACCCTTTTATCCACACTGACATAGACTGCTTATAGTCTTACGCGTTTCCCTCTCTGTGCGACCGGCTGCTAAGTGGAGTTTAAACCCTCCCTCTGCCGAGGCCCGGATGGCCCGGTCCATAAAGCGCTCGAACTGGTCCGTTTGACCCTACTGCCTTTGTTTTAGTCCCGCCTGGCGCCTTGTGTCACCACCTGCACTGGTTTTCAGACAATACATTGAGTAAAAACAAGCGCTGTGCTTCAGTGGTCCCAGGCTACCGTGGCTAGCAGCTCAACTAAAAGCTCAGGTGCTTATTAGCTTTAACTGATATGGGACCCCGTTAGCGAAGCGCTAACCAGGAGCTCACCCAGCAGCACGACAGGCTGTCCATAGACGGCCGCAAACAGCATCCAAGCAGGATTATCTCGAACTGCCTCCGGGTAGTAACAGTAACAAGATACTGATTCCTAAATGTACGTCACCAATGTAAGGGGAATTGAGAAGGAGTGGCCATTTGCGCTATTTGTGGATGCGAAGGCATCTGGGGGCGGCATGAGGAATGCGGCAAGGTCGCGCCTAAAGCAGATGCGGCTTTGTTTAGCCGGCGGCCGCGGGGAGCGGACATGCGGGACACGTTGGCATGGCCCTCTGGGCCTGCCCCCACGCTGTCATTTCCTGCTCTGCCAAACTCATTCATATTCACGAGGCGGGCTTTCCGCGTGCCGGAATTTCAGCGCTGGAGCGTCCCCACTAATCAATAACTACCCGTCATTCTGGAAAATTGCCCGGCGGACATTTGCATAGCCATTAAGGGGGGCCATCGATTTTCAGCCCCTGTAGGCGTCCATTAAATGCCACGCCGCCACGCTGGACACCATGAACATGTGGAGTCGTCTGCTGCTCAGAGTCACAGGGAAGGAGCCCAAGCAACAGGTGAGACACCCCACACCTGGAGCGGTTCATCTCAAAACCCAAATCTATCTGTCGACATGACTAATCAGACTCAGCTGCTCAACTTGGTTCTGCAAATGAGATGATGATTCTTGCTGTCTAGAAGGACTCTGCTCTCTCGTTGGCACATGGCAGTTGGTGTGGAATAGAAGACCCTTCACAGGATTTCACTGGGGGGGATTGGACTTGCACCCATCTGTCTCTCCAGGTCTGGACTCACATTAGAGTCCAATATACTGCAGTACTTCAGATCTGCATTCCGACACTGGATCTTCCTTGAATAAAATCACTCCACTACTGCTGGCCAAACGCAATCACTGTACATCAGGTTCTTCCACTAGCCACCCACCGGTAGGCCCCACTTGTCAGCTTCAATGATCCCTCGAGTAACATAACGAGAAGGTGACAGTCGATTCCGAAGCCTGAGGACCGTGGCTATTAGCCTGTCTGGTTTGTGATGGCCCTCCTTACACTGAATGCATGATCACATGACCAGAAGCCCCACACGAGCAGGTCTTTAATGATGTATATGTGTAACATACAGCTCACATAACTCAGCTTTGAAGACACCACGAGGGGGCCTACACAGGCAGGAGAGCAGAGTTATGGGAAACCAAGCATCTCCATGGCCCTTGAGCTCTGATCTCAAGGAGCAGCTTTCAAAGGCCTTGAAAGGTAAGGTCAGCCAGTCCACAACGGTTAGGGCCCTGGAAACCCTGCAACACAGAGGGTCCCAGATTTTGGAGCAACCGAAGGTCACAACTTGGCCTGAGTTCTGGGACTTAAGGCCTCCAGAACAAAGGAAGGTCCAGGTTGTGGGGTTCCTGAACTTCCTCAAGTCCTGAGAAAGTCCTGCTCTGACAGCATCAGCATTAGCCAGCATTGCTGCTCTATTGAGAAGAGAACCTGGATGTCCCACAAGTGACACGACTATATAAATAAACACAGAAGAAACACACAACACACAAAAAACTCAGAAATCAGTTCTGGGTTCTTACCGGGCCTGGCTGAGGAAGGAAATTGTTGACACGAGAAATGTTCCACATTCCCTCCAAGTGCTGTCGGGCTTGGATGGTGACAGAGCCGAGGACAGCTGACTTTGGTCCTTCGATACCCCCCGGTCTCCACCCGGGCCCCCGGCACCGATCCCCAGCAGGAAGTACCGTGCCAGCCTTGGGTGGCGGCCAGTCGTGGGCCGATGGGAGAGCCAGCACACCATGGGCGGCCCCCGGCAGTCCCGAGAAGGGCGGCAGGTCGGGGACATCGTCGGCCAGGGCCACCACCATCTGCAGGGCCCGCTGTCTCAGCTGGTGCGGCGGGGTGGCGCAGGCCTGGCAGCGGGCCGCGTCCTCATGCCTCCCCGTGAAGCCCTCGGGCGCCTGCAGCTTGTCGAACAGGAAGGTGGCGAAGCCTGGGTCCTGCAGGGGAGTGAGAACGGGAGCGACTAAACACGAGCAGAAGGAACCGCTCCAACAGGCACTTCCTGCCGTAATCTGCCAGCTTTGAGACCCCTTATCTCCTTTACGATTTCATTATCGACAGTGTGGCCCAGGCTTCTCCTGGGTCCAGTCTGCAGATTCCAGGGCTTAAGTCCAGACGTAAGTACTTCCTGATCCTGGGGGGGGGGGGGCTGTATTTGTTTAGAATGTCTGCCCCCACCAAGCTGTCTACACAAGGCACGTCTGCACCCGCAGTCCCGGTAATTGCCAGAATCTTAAGGCAAAGCAAACAGTGGGGAGGGGGGGGGGGCAAGAGACAAGAGGGGTATGTAGAAAGGAAGCATGAAGGATTATGGGTCCAGCCTCAGCAGGCCCTCGTCAGACAACGCTGGTGGCAGAGGTCCAACATGCTTGGTGACATCACCAACAAACACAAAGACACTGTGCCAATCGCTTGCACATGCAAAAATATTCAGGATCAGGCTCCTGCTTCCCTCCCACGGCGAGCTCACCGTGTGCCTAAAAACATACAGGCCACACAATAGGAGCCAGGAATAAAGGGCCACTCTCGTCCTCTCTCACTCCTCCTCCCTTTTCATCCACACATGCCACTACGGTCCCTAAAAAGGCGTAAAAAGGGCAGGATCACATCCCATGGTGTCAAGTCACGGCACAAACGAGAGCCTTCGGGTGAACAAGTTTACAAGGCCTCTGCATTCATCAAAAAGACAGACATGGGTGGGGGGAGGGGTCTGCCACTTACACCTGGGTTTCTTTCTTAAAATCATTAAAGTTGGCTTTCCATGCCGCTCTGCTGTTCTTTGATTTCTGCTGTTCAGGCAGAAGGATATTTACAGAAGCAATAAGGACTTCAGGTTAATGACTTCCCTAAGATGTGGAGAACATGCAGCGTCTTGGGTTACAAGTCCGGGTCCTAAACGGCGAGGTTAGTAAGGATAGCCCATGAACGGGTGTCAAGAACAACAGCTTGTGTTTTTCTTTCCTGCCCCTAGAGGAAACTGGAGTCACACGGGGTAGGGGGTGGGGGGAGTGGGGGGGATGGCGATAGGATGTCCTTTGCAGAGAAGCACATCTGAGACGCACAAACTTCAGAGCAGAATAAGACAGGAACCCGATCAGGCATTTTTGCTTCAGTGCATTCTGGCTGAACGCTTTTTCAGTGGCTAAATGGTGAAAATGCTACACATGGAGGGGCAATTTACTGCGGAGTCTCCCAATGCTACACATGGAGGGGCAATTTACTGCAGAGTCTCCAAATGCTACACATGGAGGGGCAATTTACTGCGCAGTCTCCCTCTGCTCTGCTAGCCCTGTGGCCTGGGGATCCTCAACCACTGACCTCAGATACTTGCTAATGAATGAGATAAATCACCATAGAAACCACAGGGGCCATCCCATCTCACATAAGGGTCTCTCTTGCATCAACACACATACACACACTATATTTTGACTATACCATCTCATATCCCCCCCTTTAAGACTGTTTTAGTATAGCTCAATATGTCAATATAATCTTTTAAGACACCATTCTGTGAGAAATATAGCTTTGCTCTGGGACATTCTCCTGAGGTGGGTTTTAATCTCCATCAGAACTCCATCAAGTCTACTACAGCTTTGTGCACGTGTCTGGCTCCAGAGTTAAAGTCACAGAAAGCTATCCCAACTTTCCTCTGGGTAAAGTGTGGGCCCTCGTGATGACATAAAGTAAGCCAACAGAGCAGAAGTTTGACACCTCAACATTCTAGATATTATGAAGAGCAAAAAAATCAATTCCTCTCCACACCTCTTAGACAACCTTAGGGAGAGGTTTAGGGAAGCTAATAAAATATGCTGTGCTTCCCATCCAATGCCCTTTTCAGTTATAGGGGTTACTGACTCCGGGCCCCTTGTAAAGCTGTCGGCAGGGTTTATGTGTCCAGGAGTTAGCTGGAGGTCAGATGATACGCAGGGGATTCTGGGAAGGTCTGACCGGGAGTGCGCCTGCATCAGATGCAGACGATCTGTCTCCCTGGCTGGCACGTCTTTGATCCGACGCCGGTCCCTTTCATGACACATGCGGGACTCAGATGCGTGATGTCAGCCAGTCGTTTTCATTCCTAAGTCCTGCCTGTTCTCTGTAGATAAGCTATCGTCATTCCTCCCCCCAATTAGGAAACAGGAGGCGAAGGATACTTGAGGAGAAACTGACAAGGTCCATCAAATCCCAAACTAGATCAGATTTAACTGCGATACTGTGAAAATACCCCCCCCCCTCCCCCCATCTCCATTTAGCCCCCAAGCTTCGCATAATTTCCACGTTATTCCACAGGTTCTCTATTTTAGTAGCTATCTAAGCATCCACGTTCTCCACTAGCTCTCAGGAAGCCAGCCCCTGCATCGTTAGTTTGATTTCTTTGCTTAATCCGGACAGGTGACAGCACTCGTGAAGCTCGCGCAGATGCGTCTGCCGGATACCGGCACTCACGTTGTCACGAAGTCACATGAGTGACCGCACTCCAGGCTGTCGTCGACCCCTTCCTTTGTCGAGGGGCCACGGCCTATGCTACCAACAAGTGCAAGGTTGCTGACCTGGCTGCCATGCTTCGGCGCCCCCAATGAGACCCAAGTCATGTGCAAGAGCTGGCCAATGGGGACGTGCCTCTGTGGGGCAGTAAAAATCAGCCAGCACTATTTTCTTTCCCATTAGGACAGACTGAGAGGTGAAGAGGGTCATGGGGCATTAGCCTGGACACCAGTTTACTAACTTCCTGCCGTTGCCTGTGGCTCTTTACGACCGATGTGCACAATGACATACCACTCAACAGGACCATGCATGAGAAAATCGCCACCTTTAACCAAAGCACCTTTAACAATGAGATGCCAGTGCCACCTCATTTCTGCAAACCCCGCCCCTCCCATAAACCCCACCCAATCTTGTAAACCCCGCCCCTCCCATAAACCCCACCCAATCTTGTAAACACCACCCCCTTCAATAAACCATGCTATACTCATTGTTTTTCCCTGTTCGAGGAGCTGTAACCCCCTGACTGCGTGGAAGGGCCCACAGAAGAGCTGCACCCTCCCCCCGGGCCTCAGGGGGTGGGGGGGTTTATTTCATGCAGTATCACTGGAGAAGCTCACGCAGCCGCAGGACGGCTCAGAGCGACAGGATGGGAAGCTGTTAAGCAGATAGAGCACCTTCACGCAATAAAAGCGACATCCAGAAGATATCATGCCCAGCTTCATCCTCTCTCTGCCCCCCTCCCAGGGCCAATAAGGTGGAATTCCTCAGCAGGGCCTCGGAGCACTGGGGACTTCCTGCTGATTGTGGGATGCCTGGAAACCATTTCAGGTGTAATTACTGACCCCAGACCCCACCCCAACATTTCTGCTCTGCAGATTACACACATATGCACAGGCCCCCGGCAGTGACCAGCCCCAGTCAACACCCACCCCCCCCCTCGCCCCCCACATGACCCAGGCACATTTTGTCCCATGTGTCAGAGCAGCATGTGACGACAAGCGCAATGCTCTTCACAAATGACATATTTCATTCAAGCATGATGGAAAAAAAACATTCAGTGGCTCTGCAGTTCACAGGAAATCTGATTGCCACAGCACTGGAAATCTAGGCGTCCATCCACAGAAATGCCTTTCCATGACAAAGCACTGATCCTGAGAAAAGAATCTATGCTTTATTTGCCATTTGCACAGGTACATTGGAATGCTTGCTTTCATATATCTCATTTTGCTCTCCTTAGATAAAGTGGAGAGTGGAGTTTGGGTTCCAAATACAAGGCCAGACCATTTATCTGGTACCCCGGAGCATTTTGGGAGAATAAAGGACTTGCTTAGGGGTTTAATAAAACTTATTCTGCCGAGGCTGGGGCTTGAACCAGCAACCTTCTGAGCAGTGACACAGAGGGTGGAACAGCAGAACCACACACCACCCAGAGAATCAATCCTAAACTACACCTGATTTAACATATAAACCAAGGTTCTGGCCTGTATACATGGAGCCAGATCAGATATCAGTTCCACACACGCAGCCACATACCCTAAAGACGTAATTAAGCACAGAGGCACAGACTCACAGAAGCTGCCAGAAGCGAGAAAGGGTGTGAGCATACACAGCAGAATCTCACAGAGCTGTCGTTTGCCCTCCCAGCCCAGTCCACATGCACTGCGACCAGTTAGCAAACTGGGCTCGACGACATGCCAAAAATCTTGGCTCTGTCAGATGTGACGTGCTGTCTGAATGTGCTGTTCAGAGGGTAACTTCCCAGTCAGTGTCCGATATACAATAAGTCATGAATTGCTCTCTACAGATGTCACTTTTCTACAGGGTAACATCCGGAGTAAACTGCGAGTCTGTATGGAGTACATCTATTAACATAAGGCAGGGGGTACAAACTTCCTCCAACCATACGTTTGTATTATTGTGGATTTCTTTTCTAAATTAACATCAGAGGTCGTTCATCCCGTTGACAGTGAATAAAATATCTAAAAATTTAGATGGCGAATAAACTTTAAAAATTATAAAACACACCGGGAAGTTTGCTAATTATTAAAGTCTCTATTAAAGTGGGTTGAACTACTCAACACAAGAATCGATTACACAAGCTAAGCACTTGGTGTTTGTTTGTATTGCATATAGACAGTTTTAAAACGTCTAGCCCTAAACAGAAACGCTCGCCAAAATTAAAATGTAATAAATTCTCATTGAAAACTAATTTAGAGGAAAAACATTAGATCTAAAAAAAATCGTTAGTAGCCCATTTACCTTGGTCTGCGATGTTTAAAACGTGCTCCTATTCCGGAATGAATCTTATCTAAAACAGCGAGGTTTTGGCAGGGAGCGTAACTGACTGCGTGTGCAGCCGATCGGACCCCCTTCGTCCTACAGTCCCCGCACAGACCCGCACAACGCCGCCGCCTCCCGCACTAAAAGGCGCAGGTCAGACCGTGTCGCCTCGCTA